GTGTGTGTGTGTGTGTGTGTGTGTGTGTGTGTGTGTGAGAGAGAGAGAGAGAGAGAGAGAGAGAGAGAGAGAGAGAGAGAGAGAGAGGAGGTGGAGGAAGAGTGCAATATGTATGTGGATGCTAGTCTTCTGTGCAATGGACCCAGTGTATTTTGCAGGAGTTGAGTGCTGTCTCCTTGCATGGACGCAAGATGCAATCATTTCAATGTATCATGTGGCAATGAAAACGAACGTCAGGAAATGGAGTGAGCAAAGGCAGCAGTGCGACGGTTCAAAGAATATAGTAAGGCCTCGTTATGAGAAGGTGAGTGAGGAGCTTGGAGAGGCGGACGAAGGGAAGAACCAAGAAGCGAGAAGCAAATTGTGCCGTAAAGAATACGTATGTAAAGCCTACTCGAGTCGCTGGAGAATCTTTCGAGGAGCTAAGCTGGGGCGGACCCTCTCTGGGACACGTGCACTTCTGGAGCTGTAAATAATTGAGTCGAACTCATAGGTGGCTTTGATGCGATACTAGAGCAATTGAGAATGGAGGCATGGTAGGGGACCAGGAAGGTAAGAAGAAGCTCCCATTACAGGTAGTTGTGTAAATGGGCGAATCCACGTTTAACCAATGGTCTGCCAAGGCCCCTGGTATCAGGAAACAAATAGCATGGCAGAAACCAGACGTCAGGCTCCGATTAGCTAGTGCACGTGAAACAGGGAAGCTGGCTGTGGTCCATGTCCCCTCAGGCTCTGCGAAGCCTGGTCTTGAGACCGTGGCAAACGTGCTTATGTTGAGTAGGCATGCAAGCCTGCTCTCAAGTCTATTACTCTTTATGTTGAAAGTGGCGAAGTGTGTACTGTGAGTAGACGCTTTCCGGTGCATTCACTCCTCATGACGAGCTCGATCTTTAATGCCCATGACTTAATGAAGGAGTGTGTATAAACTACAGGCAGTCCGAGATACCTCGAAGCGGAAGGATCTGGGAAGGTGGTGTAGAATAGGAGTAGTATGTGATGTGAGGCCTATAGTCACCAGCAAAGATGAAGAAGCCTAATTGAGTGAATGGGAGAAGCAATGGCAAGTAGAGGCCCTGGGGTCTTCATGCGAAGTTTGAACTGTCACAGAGCTGGTCTATGTCGTGTGCTTGCGGTTTCGGTGAAGAGAGTGTTATCCAGGATGAGGATATTATGAGTTTTTTTCATTTTTTTGTGTGGACGAGGATATGGTGAAATTTATAGCAGGGAATACCCACAGCATGCTAATCGGTAGTAGGAAAGCATACGAGTTGTTTTGATGCGACAGGGAGTAGGAGATATGACTGTTAAAAGGCGCTTCGTTAGGTGCTGTGAGGAAGCGAGGAGATTGAGCGCGGTGGTGGTCATCTTCGAGTCTATGATTTGCCGTCTATATGAGCCATAGAGGGAAGGGTGTGTCAAGTGTGAACCGGGGCGGAGAGAGAGAGGTGGGAGGCCCCGGGTAGGGCTGGGCGGGGTGGGGGGGGGTGCAGTTGCATAACAGCTGGCTTTGTGGCTGGCTTCCAAAGTGAGCGAAATGTGTCATTCATTTTGCTGTCATCGGCAAATTCTTGTTGAAAACTAGAAGATGCAGCATTTTAGGGAGGAAGAGTCCATGATTGGCGTTTGCCGATTTGGTGCGCTAAGCAAGAGGGGCAGGCGACAGGCAAACTGAAATGCTGATCAAAGGAAGCATGCGGACTAAAAGAGAGAGATTTGGATGAAATAGAACAGCAAGTAGGGGAGTAGTAGCCATGTGAGAGGGTCCTGCGAATGCTATGAAATATTTGAGAGCCGAGTACAAGTTGAATGTGGAGTCTCTTCCTCGTGAGTGAAATGAGAGATTGTGATTAGTAGTAAGTGAGAGATTACGGAGACGATTACGGCGACCATAACACATATCTGACTATGTGTTTGTCAAGTTTAGTAGCAGGCGGGTAGTTTAACGAAAGATGGGGCGTGGATTGTGTGCAAAGTAAAGACTCTGGAAAGAAGCACTGGAGCAAGGAGCAGCGGCACGACACGTGATGGATCTGCGGCAATGTTATCAAACGGTGAAGTGAGAGATTTGGAAGACAAAGTAACAAGGTACCGTACAGGTGCAGCAGTGCAAGCTGGAATATCATCTGCTTGCGAAACGCAGGGGAGTCTAGATGTTCTCTGGTCATGGTGCGTGTTTGTTGGAAAAGGAGAAGGGAGTGGAAGTGATGGTTCTTGTGCAGATTACTCTCTGGGGAGAGTACGGTGTGTACGAGTCTAACGAAGGCGACAGGCAGATGGCGACGATTATGGAGACGATTACGTCAGTGTTGCACACCCCGACCGTCGGCGACCCTTGACTGGTTGGCTGCCGACCCGCCGACCCGCCGACCGGTTGGCTGGTCGGCACCTACTGGCCGGGGGTCGTCGGCACCCCGCCCCAAAAAAAATAATAATAATATAAAAACAATTGGTCCAGAACCCCTAACAACCCCACGAACACCCCCATACCAACCCCAAATACCCCCATACACCCCCCAACACCCACAAACCGGCCCCCAACACCCTCATACCCCCCCCCCCAGTATCCACTATACCACCCCTATACCCCCTATATCCCCCTATACACCCCTCCCCCAACCCCCCCATCCCGAAAAAATTCTCAGCGGATTTGGGCTGTACTCAGCAAGCGCAGTACAGCTTCCAACTCAGATCTGAAAAAAAAATAGTGGATGGTTGTTTTCTGACTGGTCGGCAGACCGCCGACCGGTCAGCCCTACTGGTCGGCTGCAATACGGTCGGCGGCCGGCAGGGATGCAACACTGGGGACCATGATGATGGCCTTAGGGAAATGCAAAACCTGCAAATTGTCGGTGGCAGACGAGCAGCCACCAGCAGTCAGTAGTAGTCCGATGGTTGTCTGCGTTCGCCTGAGCATGGATGCGTGTCAGCTGCTATGCTACAGGAAGGGAGAGTGGAAGAAGACAAAGGCTTGTGGGGGAGAGGGGTGCGCGGGGGCATGGAGGAAGGGAGAAGGGAGGAAGGGGAGGAGAGGCAAAACGAAGGTTCAAGTAGTCAGGTATCAGTTGGCATGTTGAGGCTGCCCAACTATGAGAAGAGGGGAGAGAAGGGTTGTACGGAAAGAGAGACGGAGTGAGGGCTCAAGTGGCAAGAGGGAGGGTTAAGTTGCTTGACTTTTACACTACGATGAACCGAGACGGAGTGAGGGCTCAAGTGGCAAGAGGGAGGGTTAAGTTGCTTGGCTTTTACACTACGATGAACCAGGAGGGGAGGAGGGAGTGAGGGGACAAGGAGGGAAGGTGACACAAGAGGGAGGGTTAAACCACTACTGCCAGCATGCTTCGTCCAGAAGGCCGCACTTTTCACATAACAGTCTGTCCTCCGTCGGTTTGATATGCATGGTGCGGGAAAATTTGGGTTCGACAAAATGGCCTTCACGGGAATGGTGGTTTACGTCGTACTGTGTTCGTTGGCAACTTGGCTGCGTACTGTGTTCGTTGGCAACTTGGCTGTTAATCAGCCGGTGGAGAGGGAAGCAAGGAAAGTGAGGAGAGGGGAGGAAGGGAAGAGACGGGAGGGAGGAAAGGAAGGGAAGAGAGGGGAGGAAAGAAAAGGAGAGAGAGGAGAGAGGGAAGGTTAGCAAGTGGTGTATTAGCTGGTAGTTTTTCCATCTTTGCCAGCAATAGTGTGTTCTCTCTTCCTCTTGTGCCTTATAAGCTATGCTGCATTGGAGTTCCTTAAAGCACCAGTACATGGGCACCTGGGCCGCGGGCCTGACACCTCAGATTCTCGAGGCGCAAAACGAAAACGCAACCGCCGATCGAATTTATCAACGACTTGCCCAGCGTTTGACGTTTCGGCCTCGTTTTTGTGTGGCAACAAGTTTTGGACTGCAAGGCTGGGGCCGTGTACTTGTGGTTTAAGACGATGGAGTTAACGAGGAAAGGAGTCATGCTGCGAGGTGATGCCGAAGTCATTTTTTTCTAGTAAATGACTAATGACCTTTTTCCATGATTTCCTGTACAGTGCAGCTATCAGCTCAAGGTATGAGGGAGGTTATAGATTTTTGAACATTTTCATATCTTAAGGCGTACAATGCCTGAGCTGTAATTCAGCTATAGCCATGAAGCTATAGACGAAAATGAAGGTTGCATGAATGATCAAGAAAGTTGCCTCAATGCCAGACAACTCACAGTAAGTCAAACGTGTGAGTGATTACTGCGCTCGGATGTCAGGGTAATTGGTTCTGATATGAGACAAAGTCTCAAAGAGCAATGGATGTGTGTGTTGGGTCAGGAGCAAGGAATGGTATACAAAGCAGCCCTAGATGTGGAGCAGGTGGTGCAGAGTCTCTGGGAAGGTGGCATAGAGATCGCAAAGAAGTACGCCTGCTGAGATGAGGGTACCACTGCACAAGGGAAATTGTGACTGCACCACTCAGTCATCCCACAGACATCGCAAAGGAGTATGTCTGGCGTGCAGGTCCTTCCGGTGTCAACAACTGAGTCTGCAAGGTGTCCCCGACTCACAGCCGCAGTGGTAAGGCGACATCAAGGCTTGTTGACGACTCAATAACGAGCGTATAGGGGAAACTGTGACTGTAACACACGCTTGGTCAATCCATCAAGATCGCAAAGAAGTACGTCTGGCATGCAGGTCCTTCCTGCGCGGTGATTATCACCAGTTAATACTCCTCGACTCCCAGCCGTTATGTAAGGCGACATCAAGGCTTGTTGACGAGGCTACAGGGGAAACTGTGACTGTAACACACACACAGTCAATACGTCAAGAGGATTGCGAAGAAGTATGTCTGGCATGCAGGTCCTTCCTGCATGGTGGTTATCACCAGTTAATATTCCTCAACTCTCCGCCGCAGTGGTAAGGCGACATCGAGGCTTGTTGTCAAGCCTACAGGGAAAACTGTGACTGTAACACACACACACACTCGATACGTCGAGAGGATCGCAAAGAAGTATGCCTGGCATGCAGGTCCTTCAGTTGTCAATGACTGAGGCTGCAAGGTGGTTGTGACCGGTTGATAATCCTTGACTCGCCGCTTTTTATCCTTCACCAAGATGCGAACTTGAGACCTACCTGCTGTTAGGGGAGATGTTTACCGATTGGGCTGGGCACCCGATCTCAACTCGCCGCCTTAGTAGTAAGGTGGCAGCAAGGTTTGTTGACAAGCATATGAATGATACTGAATGACACTGTCTCAAACTATTGGATTCCACCATGATGACAATCGACAGCCTCCTGATGAGTCGGTGAAACTCCGACGTTGCAGTTTGTCACAGCCGCTCATTTGTTGTCCTCTTCTCCCTCTCTGCTGACGGTTTACTGGGCAGTTCTATTTGACGACATATGTACTTGTCACATGTTCCCATCTGAGCGAGAGAGGGGAGGGCCAGCCGACGAACCATGGTATGTGCTTCGTCTAATGAACTGCCTTCCTTGTGTACATATGTTCAGTTGATGGGCTTGAAACTCCATTGCATACATATGATGGATACATGGAGAAAGAGATAGAGGAAAGAAAGTGAAGGATGGGTGTAAGGATGGTGAGTGTAGAAACTTAGGAGCATAGACCTTGGATAGACATGGAGGAACGCAGATGCCTTGCAGATTGCAGGTAGGCAGATGGCACAATGGATGTGCACAAATGGTAGGGAAGATGGAAGAGTGGTGGGAGGATGAAGAGGTGGCTTGATGGATGAGTCAATGGATGGCTCAAAGAGGCAGACGGCTGGGTGTGAGGGTAGTCGGACGGATAGCAGATGGTGCAATGTATGTGCACAAACGGCGAGGAAGATGGAAGAGTGGCGGGAGGATGAAGGGATGGCTTGATGGATGGTTTGATGGATGGCTCGCTCAAGTCAAGGATGAGTCACTGGATGCCAGTGGATGGCTAGAATAGGCAAAAAAAAAAGGGAACGAACCGATGGAGGAGTGCCGACGGTCGCCTGTTGGATGGATGGGAGATGGCGCAATGGATATGGATGAATGGCAGGAGAGATCGACAAGTCTCGGGAGGATGGACGGAGGAGGGTCGAGGGATGGTGGAGAGAGGCAGAGAGCGAAGAAGGGAGGGGGGGAAGGAAAAGGCAGCAAAGGAGGAGGGAAAAGGGTGGACTGGTGGATGCGTGCATGCATGAGGAGACGAGTTGTGGACTCGTGTCGTAGAATGGATGTTACCTAGATGATGATGGGAGCTGTAAGCTGAGAGCGTCCCCCTTGGTGTAGGCATGAGAGCCTTTATTCCCTTCCTTGGAAGAAAGGATAAGGAGAGGGGTGATGGAGGTGTTATGCCCCAAGAGGGACAATAGGTAGTATAGGTGAGGAGCTGGTGGGAGCCTCCACTCCCTCCCTGGCCCCTGGGACTATATGATCTTGCCCAGAGTAGCCGAGGGAGCAAGCACAGACTGTTTCGTTCCTCTGGAATGCTTGCGATCCATTGTTCCTCTGCAATGAGGGTAGGTCAGTCGGGGCAACTGTTACGCTGCCATGTTGTGACCGTAGGGTTTAGGAACTTTAGGCATGTTGTATTTGCTGATAATACCTGATATATATGTTTTTCATTTCTGGTGCATGATGTTTGATCACATCGAGGAGGCACAGGGTTTGTTTTTTGTTCGTTTTTGTGTTTTTGGATTCCCGTCGCGCTTCTCCCATTGGATGGTAAACTCATAACGTGTGTTTACGACCGTACGTCAAATTATCAGCTAGTGCTCGTTGGTTGGCATGGCACCGGCAAGTGATCAGTCAGTCAGTCAGTCAGGGAGGGAACTTGGCGGTGAGCTCCGTCATGGCATCGCACCCTCTGCAGTTCTGCATTGACCAGGTGCAGCTCGTGAATTTATTTTATCTATTTAATTTTTATTGTTTTTAGCTTCTTTTTTTTTCTTTTTTTTGGGGGGGAAAACATCCCGCTCAGCAGCTTGAGGTGCTGGTAGGAGCAGACACCTCAAGCTCACCGGGGATTATTTTTTAATAATAATATATGACTATAGTACAAGGAAACAGGAAGACACTTAGCAAATGGGTTGTGCTAGGGGACCCTGCTCTGCTGTACGAGTTGGCCTTCTCTCTGTGATGTGTTTGTGATATATATTTGTCCAGAGTGTATGGTGTGCATGCTCAATGCCAGCCGTTGTGGCGATTGTTGTACTGAGAATGCTCAGCTAAGTCTTCCATGTGCTCATCCACCTCATTCTTACAATGAGTGTCCTCTCTGCCGTCAAGGACAGGCTCATTCTTGAGCCTTTCCTTGTCCTCACCTTTGCCTACATCTTCATCCCACACTCCGTACTTGTGCTTACTTTCCCTTTTTCATTCTTTGTGTCTTTGCTTCATCTCTCTTCCCTGTGCTTACCACCTCCCCCTCTACTCTGCCTCTTTTCTCACAACGTACAAGTGGGCCGTTATGGCACAGGAGGACGCGGGCAGCTACAGCCTTCCCCCGAACAAAACGCATGTGTTGTATATGAATACAACGCACGTGTTATGCTATGGGTTTTGGGCACCAACTTCAGATAACGGACGCCAACTTCAGATAACGGGCTCTCAAAAAAAGTCCAGTATACGCCCTTGTAGCCGCGGGCCTGTCCCGTGGAGCATCCGTCACAGTTGGAGCAACACACATAAATAGAGAAATGAAAAAAAAAAAGTCTCCACAATGAATCTTCCCCTAGACAACAGAAGTATACATCCTGCATGTGTAGAGGGGTGGAGCGAGACTGTACGTAGACAAGAAGACCTCCACGTCAGACGGCGATAGGGAAGCCAGAGAGAGAGAGAGAGAGAGAGAGGAGCAGTTCGGCCTGTCGTCTCTTGGAGCGCATGGTGATCCCGTTTTCTGGCCGCAATACTTGGAGCTATGTCTTCGGCCAGTCGTTTCTTGGCGTGCGCGGTAATCCTGTTTTCTGCGGCGATTGCGGCCAGATACGGGAAGAGAGAGAGAGAGAGAGAGAGAGAGAGAGATGCGTAGTATTTGAATAGTACAGACGTGCGTACTATTCGGATTTTCAGGAGCTACTTCGAAACATCGGGTTTTCCAGGGAAAGTTGAATAGTACATACGTGCGTTTTGTTTGGGGGAAGACTGTAGCGATAGACTTCATCAACGTGGCGAGCCTTGTACGTGAGAGGTGCGGTGAAGGGGGAGTTACAAGAAGAATGAGGAAAATGAATGGTTTCAGTTTCAGTGTGCCCCTCGTCTTTGTCTTGCTTTTTAATCTTTGCCGTTTGTTTCACAAAGTGCGCTTTTTTTGTTCTTAGTCATGTGACGATATATATATGTGAATGCATGGTCTTTTGCGGTGCGTGTTCTTTCTTCATCTTGGCCTGCAATCGACACACCATGTGTTGGGAGTATTTGGTGGGCATGCTCAATGCCAGCCGCGTCATGGCAATTGTTGTATTGAGAATGCTCAGGTAAGTCTTCGATGTGCTCATCCACCTCATCCTTACAATGTATGTGCCATCAAGGACAGACTGATTCTTGAACCTTTTCTTATCCTTTCCTATGCTTTCACCTTCATTCCACACTCCTCACTTTCCTTTAATTTCTTTTTGCCGTCCTCTGCTTTGTCTTATCTCCACCTTTTCTGCGTGTTTATGCCCTCCCCCTTAACTCTGCCTCTTTCTTGCAGCTTACAAGTGGGTCGTTGTGGCACACGGGGATGTGGGCAGCTCGCTCCAATCTGGTGAGCCTTGTACTTCAGACGCACAGTAAAGGGGGAGCTAAAAGAAGAATGATCAGAAGAATGGTTTCAGTCTACTCTTCATGTTTGTCGTCTGTATGTTTCGTTTGTTTCATTACGTGTGCTCTTTTAGTTGATAGAAAACTCCGATGAAACAGTTTGTCACAGCCCCTCGTTTGTTGCCCTCTTCTCCCTCTCTTCCTATGGTTTACCTGGCAGCTCTGTTTGACGATGCGTGTGTGTGTGTGTGTGTGTGTGTGTGTGTGTGTGTGTGTGTGTGCGTGTGTCTGTGTGTATGTGTGCAAGTGTATGTGATGATGTGTGTGTGGATGCGCACAATAATAGATCAATTTCTTTTTGTCCTTAGTGAGTATCTACAATCAGGCAGAAGAAGTTTTCCTATTGCATGTGGATGTCTGGTGGTTACTGGTCTTCTCCCTTCCCCC